TATTTCTTGTAGCTGCTTAGTGGTATATGTATAACCCACGTGTCAGCCAAGCTTACCCTATTAACAAAAACAAACCAAAAATAAGTTTAAAACCTTGCCTGAATCTTGGGTGCAGTGCTGTATGCTTGTAATCCCGGATCTGGCAAGGCTGAGATCGATGGATCCCTGAGGGTGTCTGATCAGTCACCCTAGCTTACTTGGTGAGCTCCAGGCCGATGAAAAATGCATATCCAAAAGAAAAAGATGAAATGCAACTGAGGAATGACGCTTTGAGGTTGCCTTCTGTGCTCTGCACACATGCACACACATAGATTTGTCCCTGTACAAACATGCACACTCACGCACGCACGCACACTGAACTTCAATCTCACACACATACTTTGGGGAGACTAATGTCTCTCAAGGATTCCTGAGAATTTCTAGGGAACTGTGCACACACATAGATTTGTCCCTGTACAAACATGCACACGCACGCACGCACGCACGCACGCACACTGAACTTCAATCTCACACACATACTTTGGGGAGACTAATGTCTCTCAAGGATTCCTGAGAATTTCTAGGGAACTAAGCTCAGGAAGCTGCCACAGACTCTGAGCTCAGGCCCTGTGGACTCCCCATTTCTTTCTAGCATTTTCTTCCCCTCACACAGCAGATTAGCTGTGGGTCGCCCCCCTCTTCTTTCCTTCAGTCACTGCTTTGTAAGTCTGCCTTTACAGCCTCTTCCCCTCTCTAGGGAACAACTGGGATTCTGAAGTTTATGGAAGTTCTTTCTTTGTTTTTCTTCATGGTCTTAAATAAACTAGATACACTCACTCTCATCTGTTTTTTCTTGCTCTTTCTTAGCTGTTTTCTGTCTTTTGCTTTTCACCCCATTCTAAATTTTTAAAAACATATTTGTCTCTTGTTTAGGAAATTTAACCTAAATCTATTGTTTTTTTCAGAAGTCCTATTTTTTTTTAATGTTTTCTATGCTACCTTTTATTTTTCTTTATACTCTAGAGATTTGTATGTTTAGCTTTTCTCTCTCGAAACATAGACCTATCGTTCTTTCATATTCTGAGCTACTCTCTGGTATTTGGTGCTCTGGGGTATCTCATTTTATTGTTAAAGTTGATTTTGCTGATTCTTGCAGAGGTGTTTTGTTTGTCTGAGTACACAGATTTTATATTGCTGGTACTTGTACCTAAAATTCTTCATATATTGTCATTGGCTTCCACTAGGCAATGAGGTGCTTTCAAAAACAAAAACAAACTAAGTTTGAGGCAGGACACACCAAAAGCAGTAAAAGCCATTGAAGACTGACTTGTTTATAATCCATACTTTCCAGAAGGATGTAATCTTGGGTGTCGCAGCTTATTTGACTTCCTGCCACATGTTTAGACCTGGGCTTTGAATTTAGTTTCCCTGGATCCCTGATGATCTATAGATAGAAATTGAATGTGTAGATGTTGGCAAATGCACCCATTTACTTCTCTCAGATCATATTTTCCCTTCAGTTTCAGCATTGGTATTTCTCATTATGTTGTACCCTCAATGGTTTCTAAAAGAACTTTAAAATCCACCTTATTTGGTAACCTGGATGGAAGGTGATTTCAAATAAACGGCTCCACTGTTAATGGAAATTTGAATTTGTTATCTTTTCATAGGCATACTTTTCCTTTGTTTTGATACGTAACAATCAGGCTAATCAGGTCAGAAGTCAGGTTCTATAGATTTATTCATTTATTTTCCTTTTTTTGTTGGTTATTTTGACCTTGCATAGCCTGAGAGACATTTCTGAAACTTTATTCCTTTCCCCTAGTAACCATCTATGGCTGGAGAGGTGGTTGAATTTACTACACTTCTTGCTCCTATCTGCAGATGCTGATGAATGGCAAGAGTCAGAGGAGAGTGTGGAACACATCCCATTCTCCCACATCAGGTATCCGGAGCAGGAAATGAAGAAGAGATCTCGGGAATTCTATGAGATGCTCAATAAGAGACGGTCGGTCAGGTTCATAAGCAACGAACAAGTTCCAATGGAAGTCATCGACAATGTCATCAAAGCAGCAGGTTGGTGATTGCGTTAGAGAGTGTCAGCTCCCTATGCTGTGGCCATACTGGAGCAACAGTGAAGTCCAAATGGATAAAGCTGAGTGACGTCTTTCTATAGTCTGACCCAATGTTAAGTGATTGACAGAAACGTTAAGATTTGTACTGTCTACATTTTGACCATTACAGACGTTTTGGAAGTAGCTATGACAATAAAAAGCTTTTGAAGTTATTCCACCTTCATTTAAAATTAAAATTTCTGATATTAGTATATCACCAGAGAGACATCCTCTTTCTTTTTCTTTCTTAAAGTAGCTACACACACACACACACACACACGCACACACACACACACACACACTTCACATTTACACATTTGTCTTCTGGGAAACAAACTTTTCATATTTGACATCATGATGCTCTAGTACAGAAATCTACTGAACTAACATAACAGCAAGTTTTCACCACTTGAAATTTTAAAGTAAACCAAAGCAAGATAAACTCACTCTAATTGTAAATTGATATTTCCATGGGGGAGGGGGAGAACTGTGAAATGACACAAACTCCTGTGTAAGTTTGTCTTATTCCTACCTGAGTCATATTTCAATTTCTGTACAGAACTTATTGCATGGCCACTGTGAATCTGTTGTCTAATTTAAAAGGCATCAAGAATATTTTGTTTCGGGGGCCGGAATGATGATTCAGTGATTAAGAGCAGTGGCTGCTCCTGCAAAGGACCCAGGTTTGGTTCCCAGCATCCACATGGCCACTAACAATCATTAACTCCAGTTCTAGGAGAATTTGACACTCTCTTCTGACCTCCATGGTGGGCATTGCACAACACAAATGCACTTACATACATGCAGACAATGTGCTCATACACATAAAATAAAAATAATAAATTAAAAAATACAGATGTACTAGATTGTATCTTTCACGTAACTAGCAGCAGTCACTAAATGACTGGTCACTAAAGTGACTAGAAAGCAGTTACTTTCTTTGTGTGTCTATGTGAAGTTAAGATAAATTTGAGGTAATTGAGGATATCAAAGAGAAGCATCTCTTATGTTTAAAGATATAAATATTTAGTAAATAAATAAAATGTGTACAAGGTTAACTGGAATCATGCCTTCTGTTATGACTTATATTTCTTTTATTTTCTTATTTTTATTTTATGTGTGTGAGTGTATTGCCTGCATTATGTGAGTGCACACATGTCGTGCAATGCTGCGGAGGTCAGAAGAGAGCTTTGGATTCCCCTGGAGCTGGAGTTAAGGACAGTTCGTTGCCGCCATGTGGGTGCTGGGAATCGAACCTGGGTTCTCTGCAAGAGAAGTCAATGCTCTTAACCGCTAAGCCATCTCTCCAGCCCCCATGACTTATATTTCTTAACTAATCATGATTTCTAGTATTAAGAGCTGTGTGGTAGAGAAAATCTCCCTCAAGAATCCACAGGTTTATCCCCCTCAGAGGCAAAATTCCAGTAAACTTCTTGCTTGGAAGAAAGAGATCATTGTTTCTGCAATATTCCACTGTAGGTCACTGTGGCCCACCCTGGGGAACAGTGGTTCTCTCTAGGACTAAGGAGTGATACCAGGTTGGAAACTGGTCCCTAATTCTAAACAGAATACAAGTTCCTGGACAAAGGTGGTGCCCCATGGAACACTAACGGAAGACTGGAGCTGGTCCAGAAGTGGGCAAAGGGATCCTTAAGTCCCCCCAAACAGAAAGGCTCACTGTTCTGTTTTGAGCACTCAAGACTAGGAGTTCCCAAACTCTTGTATGTCTTCAACATGATTATGTTACAGTGCCACACCAAGAGTTTTGATAGAGGTACTCAACACTTTGTGGTTTGGTCGACTTTCTAGGAGTGCTTAAGAAAATATTTTACTGGGGCTGGAGAGATGTCTCAGCAGTTAGGAGCATTGACTGTTCTTGCAGAAGACCTGAGTTCAAATCCAAGCTCGCACATAGTGACTAACAATCGTCCATAACTCCAGTTCCAAGGGATCCAACACCCTCTTCTGTCCCCCACGGGCACTGCACAACACAGGTGCACTTACACACATGCAGGTATAACACTCATATGCATAAAATAAAAAATACAAATTGTACCATCGGTATCTTGACATTTTGAGTATGTGAGAAGTCAGTGGGCTTTTTACTTTTTCAAGAACATTAAAACAAATGACATTTTGGAGAACCGGGCTGTCAGAACTTCCTTCTAAACTTCCTTAAATGATCATGTGCAGTTAACTAGGGATGTTTTCTTTTCCATGATTTAAGTCCCACAGTCCTGAGACTCCTGGTTTTGATCTCAGTTGGTTGTGAGATATCTAAAGTAAAGGTGAGTCAAACAGAGTCAGCAGCCACACACCAGAGCCACAGCCAGACACTCTGCTTCTCTAATTTCATTTGGAGCAAGAATGAAGTATTGTGTTG